CCTGGGTTTTTGTTGTTGTTTGCTTGTTTGTTGTTTGTTTCAAGACAGAGTTTCTCTGTGTAGTTCTGGAACCTGTCCACTCACTTTCTTTGAAGACCAGGCTGGCCTTGAACTCAAAGAGATCCACCTGCCTCTACCTCCTGAGTTCTGGGATTAAAGGTGTGCACCATCACCATCTGGTGAAAAGAACCTGTTTTAAGACAACTGGAACACCTCTGGCCTCCACACACCTTGTAGGGGTTGTGTACACCACCCCTACAAGTAATAAATAATTTTAGCAAGGTTGCAGGACAAGAGGTTAGTGCACATAAAAGCTAACTGCTTTTGTATATACCCAGAAACTCTCAGCAACCACAGGGTTTGGTTTCAGGATGCTTTTTAGATACCAAAACCCTTGGTGTTCAAATCCCTTACATAAAGTGGACTAATTCGCTCAGTATTCAGATGTATGCCACAAAAAAGATGGCTAATCAAACCAGTACAGACAGTTGGGGTACAAAGTTAAGACTATAAAATAGTTAAAACAATAAATTGTATGTGTATTTTATAATAAAAAACACCAAAAATGGAAGTAGTTATGAATATAAGGTCTACATGAGGAAACTAAAACACAAAAAAACCTTTGACTTACACAATTAATACTGGTATTACTCAGCCATAGAAAAAGAAAATTAAATAAGAGAAAACAGACTATATAGAAAATATTAAGTCTGATTGAAAAAAAAATAAGAAAAGATCGAGGCCAGCAGACACAACAAGCTATTTCAACAGACTATTGGACATAGTGATTGTTCTATTCATCCCTTCTAGAAATGGCACAGCAAAAGTTTGAGATGTCCAAGCCCCTTTTCTCTCAATGATGTTATCAAAGGCTCTAGAATTACAATTAGAAAAGTGTGGTTTTAGGCACATGCTTCAATTTAACTGACACGTGATGTGGGATGCCCTTCTGTATGCTGTGGATGTCTTAGTGGTTAATAAAGATGCTGATTTGGCCAGGCAGAATATAGGAAGGTGGGCAATATAAGCAGAGACACAAAGGGAAAGAAGGCAGAGTCAGGAGACATCAGCAGTCACTGGAGAAGCAAGATGTGAGGCAATAAGCCACAAGCCTCGTGGTAAAATATAGAACAGAAATGGGTTAAATTAAATTGTAAAAGCTACTTAAATAATAACCCTGAGCTAATAGGCCAAACAGTTTGTAAATATTAAGCCTCTGAGTGGTTATTTGGGAACTGGCGGGCAGGAGAGAAACCTCTAGGCACAGGCATGAGTTCATCATAAAGGAATAGTGCACGGAACAATTCTGAATTGCACAATGTATCTGAGCCAACACAATGCTTTTGTTTTGACATTCCAAGTTTGTAGTATAGAGAGGAAATGTCTTTTAACTTTCTATGCAGGCCACAGGCTGCCACTCCGTAAGCTTTGAAGTGCTCTCATAGTCTGCCTTCACTCAGCTCAAGATGACTATGCTACAAATGCATCTTTAAGATCAATTTGATCACTGAACAGCAATGAGGTGCTTAAACGTTTAAAAAGTATTATGGGAAAAATATAAATATGGAATATAGAGTCTCACAGGTAAAAAGTCTAAGGACAACTTTTGGGAGTTGGCTCTCTCCTTCAGTTGTGAGTTCAGGATGTTGGATTCAGAATGTCAAGCTTGTACCTCTTGGGAAATCTTCCCATCCCTATTCCTGGAACCTTAAGGGACAGTTCAATCTACTGAATCTCACACTGTGAAGTAGCACTGAAAGGACAAAGTCTTGGTCCCAACTTCTCCTCTGGAAGTATTACAGAGACTCGGCAATACCAAACGCAGTGGATGCACAACCAAGGGGACAGCGGGTAAACTGCAGGACCTCCTCTTAGAGTACTGGGTTGTTTTCAAACTTCATGGGTGATGCCTATGCAAGAATCAGCAGTCTAAAGGGCTTTTTTTTATTTTATGTGCATTGGTATTTTACCTGTCTCTATGTCTATGTGAGGGTATTAGATCCCCTGAAACTGGAGTGGCAGACAGTTTTGAGTTGCCATGTGGGTGCTGGGAATTGAACCTGGGTCCTCTGGGAGAATAGTTAGTGCTCTTAACTGCTGAGCCATCTCTCCTGTATGGAGGAATTTTAAGGAGTGTGCACTGCTGTATAGTATACAAATGAAGGAAAAGTACTTAGCATTAACTAACTCTCAAGAAAAAGTTTGAAATTTATCAAATTCTTTAACACCCCTATTATTTCCTCCTTTGACAGAGTAGCCTTTTTATACAGTGTACGTAGCATTGATATATTTGCTCCAGACCAGCAGTTCCTCCATGGTGCACTTATTTATTTAGTCCTACACTCAACTAGCACTGCCTCTGCTTCAAAGAGAACCCAGTGGGACAGACACGAGAGAATTTGCCCAAGGCCAAACAACCACAGAAGTGGCAGTGTGAGCATTCAAACCCAGTTCCAGCATCCACCTGTGAGATGATGCTCCGTTGCCTCCCCGTTCATATTTATAGTAGACATGTGCCCTCATTACCCCAGATGAAATCTGCCTCCCCACTCTTCATTATGGCCACTCGCACCCGTTATAGAGCACTTCCATTTCAGAGCTTGTTGAACACTAAGGAAATAAAAACATTTCTTCCCTCAAAGCTGAAGATGAGAAATAAACTCAGGAACCTCCTTTCTCCAGTCCTCTCTGAAAACTGACAGACTGCGGTTTCTAAAGCTTCGCCAATCAACAGAACCAAGAAAAAGCTTCTCCATGGTTCTCTGAAGGCGAAGGCACAGTCTCCTCCCCTCAAATACCTCTCTGGAATATGAATCCTTAGGCTTTTTAAAAAAGGGTTTATGTATATTTCTTCCTGCATACATGTATGTGTACTGCACGCACGGCTGGTGCTTATGGAGGTCAGAAGAGGGTGTTGCATGCCCTGGAGCTGGAGTTATGGACGGTATGTGTGGGTGCTGAAAACCGAACCCAGGTCCTCTGCAGGTGCAACAAATGCTCTTAACCGCACAGCCAACTTTCCAGCCCCTGAAACCTTAACATCTGAATTTGTGAATTCCAAAGGCAACTAAAATGGGGAAAACCAAGGACTAATAATGGAAATCAAGAACAATGAAATACTTGAAGAAAGGAATATGCATTCCATAGAATACTGAGGATCCCGGAATCTCCAGTCTATCCATTTAAGACCAACATTCCAGAGGTTAAACTCAGCCTTCATTTGCCCACTAGGTTCCAGTTTAGGTTCCCAGCAGCTCTTAAGGAAAAGCAACATTTTACCAGACCTCATCTTCAGATGCTCTCACCCGTGTCTCATAAAAAGTTACGTCTATGAGTTTTATGTAAAACATTTACCTTGCATTAACTTCAGACTCTAAAACTATGGATCCATAAAAGGCACAGTAAGTGCACAGGATGGAAAAGTGCTGGCTGCCGAGCACCACAGATGTCAAGAAATTTCCCAGGAAGCTCACGGATCCTGCACATTTAACACCTGCGTGGTGCCCACTGGTGCAGGCAGGCACTCCACCGATGTCCAAAGGCAGACTGACCCGGGGAGAATCCAGCTGCCATGACTTCCCATATTAAATGAACCGACCTTCCTTCCAAGGTTAACCTACCAACAAGCTTCCTGTACACATTCAGTTTCCTCAGGACTTTGGAGCCTTGGCATATGCTTATAAATTCCTTGCTTAATGAAAGAACTATTTCAATTCATGCTTAGTAGTTCCACAAACTAGGCTACAAGAATCTAGTTTAGCGCTGGAGGACCTTAACAATCCTCCATACTGCAAAACCAAGGAATCTGTAGGCATCGTTTATAGTTAATAACCCCTAGCACCAATTCTTCCAGACTTCTAACTTCAAAGTACTACATGGTTTTACACTGTGTTATCCATAAACCACATTCTATCTGTCCATCCCTAGACATTCTAATATATACATGCATATATATGTGTGTGTATATATATATATATATATTGCCCAAAGAATATTTAAAGTCAAACCTTACAAATATCTATTCTCTTTATATGGAAGCTAACAAATGTCACTTTTTGAAAGCCCATACGTGGTGGCCTCCCCCCTCCTACCAAGGTCTCTTGGGACAGTTTAATGACCTTGCAAAGAAACTATCTCAACACGAGTGTACGCTTGCTGACAATTCTTCATGTCTTTCCCATTAAAATCGACAGAATTAAAGTCTCTTCAACAGCAAGGCGACCAGCAAGTTCAGGAGAGGGGCTTATTTAGATTCCCTTAAGTTTCTCCAGTACCTAGCAAGGAGCCCGATACCCTGTGGAAGACGAATGAGAATAAGCTCAAGCACAAGATCAATCTCACAGCTCAACAGTGCAATGTTTCACTGGGCGTCACGGACAAAAATGTACAACCCAACTTTCCCTAGGCTTTTTCTTCTGTCTCCCCTGCAGCCTGAGGACCTTTCTAAAGACTTTACAAGCCACGAACCAGGGTACGCAGCGGAAGTACAGAGCTGATAGAAACCCAGATGGTTCCAAAGCTCAATTCAACTCCAGTTCGGGTCCTGAGGTCCCGGATGGCCGTTTCAGTCTGTGGGGACCAAGCCGTGACCTTGTTCCCTTTGACCCCAGCCCGGGACTGGCACGCGCCCTTCCCGCTTTGCAGACATTTCCGCGGCCCGTGCGTGCAGGAGCCCCGACCTTTATCGGCCTCGGGTGAGCATGCAGTCCGAAACCCTCCTGCCTCGCAGCAGCCCGAGCCCCACATCCCTCCCGATCTAATCATACCATTGCGGCTGCAAGGCACAGGCCGACAGCCCGGCAACACTCGCCCGCGAGAACATGGTGGAACCTTGAAGGTCGGGCAGACGGGGCTCACTGCGCGTGCGCGGGAGCTCCCACCGCACCGGCCCTCTTCGCTTGCGTCTTCAGTCTCGCTAATTCTCGTGAGCTCCGAAGCCTCGGGTTCCCTAGCCCCACCCACTTCCTGCTGTCAGTTTTAGTCCCGCCTGTCCTCGCGTCGATCCAGTTCCGCTTCCGGCTGCACGGTAGTGCTCTGGGTCACCATGGGCAAGTCGGATTTTCTGAGCCCCAAAGCCATCGCGAATAGAATCAAGTCCAAGGGGCTCCAGAAGCTTCGCTGGTACTGCCAGATGTGCCAGAAACAGTGTCGTGACGAGGTAAGTGGCTCAGAGTGGCCGCGACTCCGAGGGTCCCGCCAGCGACCCCGGTACCCAACCGACGCTGCGTTTTTTCCGCGCAGTCTTCCCCAGCCAGAGGTCTGTGAACCTCAGTGCCCTTCGCGCGACGCTCCAGCTCCACCAGAAATGATCCCAGACAGGCACCTGCTGATTGCCAGGCTCCGACTTCCCTGGGGTCGGTAAAAATTAGGAACTCAAACTGCACAGCTTAATAGAGATACGGGCTTGGGCAAATAAAGTGCCCTGTTACTGGTAAAGTGGAGGTAATCACTGTACCTGCGTGCTCTGAGGTTGTCACTGGGTTGGTTGTATTTTTGTTTTGTTTTGTTTTTCCCCTTTGAGACTGAGTCTCCCCATAACTTAAATGTCATTATGTCTCAAAGTTCCCACTTGTTACTGCTATTAGGGGTTAGAGATTCAGTATATAGATTTCAGGAGGTACAGGCTTGCGTTCCATAACACCTAGAAATTACCCTTAAGTGTTTACCGAATTTACTTCCTTCTGAAATATGTTATAATAAATTATATAAATGCCAATATACTTAACCTTTGAAAACTTAAATATGTGATCAACATAACAAGGTCCGTTTCATTTCAATATATGTCAAAATGCCACCAATAGAGCAAACCTAATAAAAATTCCTTTACATCATCCCATACACTCTATTTAATTTCTGCTTTATGTTGGAGACAGTGTCTCAGTATATAACTTTAACTGGCCTGGAACTCACCATGTAGATAGACCCTGCTGGCCTCAAACAAGATCCACCTGCCTCTGCTTCTCTAGCGCTGGTGTCAAAGACGTAGACCAACCCACTTCATAGTAATACTTGCTCAGTAGTCTGGTGGTAGTGGTGGCGGGGACCAGGAACCTTGCTTGTTAGCAGTACTACAAGTTAATCCAGAATCTTACACATGCCTGGCAAGTGCTCTACCACTGAACTACTTCCTTATGCCCCTATAGTGGTATTTTGTATTTTAATAATTGACTTTTGCCTAAAGTCCAGAGGCATAGCTAAAGCTTCTAGAGGCAACACACACCTTTAATTCCAGGATTTGGGGGGCAGAGGCAGATGGATCTCTGTGAGTTCAAGGCTACCCTGAGCTACACAAGATCACTGCAGAGACAAATCCGGGTGGCGGCAGCTCACCTTTAATCCCAGTTTTCGGGAGTCAAACACCTTTACTCCCAGCAACAGGGAATATGAAAAGAGAGGAGAGAGGCTCAGTCTTTTTAGTTTGTGGTCACCCAGCCTTGGTAGAGATTCTCTAGTGGCTTGGCGGCTTTGCTTTTTTGGTTTTCATATTGAACCCCAATTTCTGTCTCTGGGTTTTATTCATACTACATGCCCCCTGATTTATATTATCTTATTTTTTTATGAGCATGTGTCACCAAATGTCTACAGATGCCTACTGATGCCACTTAAGGGCATACAAGTCTCACACACAATGGGGGTCAAAGAGCAACCTGTAGTTGGTTATTTCCTTCTAGCACGAGGGTCCTGGGGATTGAAATGAGGTTGTCAACATTTGACATGAGCACCCTTACCCACTGAGCTACCTTACTGCCCTTACCACCTTCCTAATAACTCACGCCATGCTGCTCAATCCCGCTGCCGCTGGCTAGATCTCAAAACCCCGTCTCTTTTGTTGTTGATTTTTTTGAGACAGGGTTTCTCTGTGTAGCCGTTTCTGACCTGGAACTCTCTCTGTAAACCAGGCCGACCTTAAACTTACAGAGATCCATTCGCCTCTGCCTCCCTCATGCTAAGATTAAAGGTGTATGCCACCACTGTCAGCTTCAAAACTCTGTCATACTCACTGTCATTTTTAACCTTTTAGTTATCCATGGACCACCTATAATTTTCCCTAATTTGTGCACTACCTGAAAGAAATGCTTATTTCAATTTTACTTCAAAAGAGATTTGGTAACAAAGACAAGTATTGCTTTCCATAAATTAAAATATAAATAAAAAGGAAAACAAAATGTTATTAACTTCTAGAAATCCAAAGGAATGGATTAGGAAAGGTCAAAGGGATATGGCCCTTATCTTCTTCCTCCTCATTTCTCCCACATTGCAGGGTAGGAATAGAAAAGGGAACGTGTAAGAGCCAGCATCTTCCTTCCCTTGAGCGCCTTTGAAGGAGGAAGGCAGGTAGAATCAAAAGAACCTACAAAAAACAAACAAAAAAAAAACACCCTGACACTTAACAGAAGTAATCATTCATCCTCTTCTCATGATAATTTAATTTCCGAATAACTTCTGAGGGTAATCAAGTAGGTGCAGGTGTGGTGGCGCACACCTCTAATCCAGCACTCTAGAGGCAGAGATGGGAAGGTCACAAGTTTCAGGCCAGGGTGTACTAACACAGTGAGACCCAGTCTCCAAAAAAAAAAAAAAAAAGTTGGTAAGTACTATATGTACTATTGAAATTTTAAGTTCAAATAAAGATAGAAGTAATATACCAAAGCATATATGTTGATTTTAAGTTATGTATTTATGTCAGTAGAGGCGCTGTATCTCCTGGGCTGGCATCCCAGGTGGTTGTGAGCACCCTGCTGTAGATGCTGGGAACTGAGCTGAACTCTAGGTCCTCTGCAAGAGCAGCTTGTTCTCTTAACCACTGGACCATCTCTAGCTCCCACTTGTTTTTTTCTTAACAGTTTTAAAAAGCACAGCTAAAATACAGTTAACAAAATTTAAGTAATAGGATAATAAACAAAAGAGGAAGAAAGCAAGAGAAAAGAGTGTAAGGGAAACTCAGATGTGATCCTTTTTGCCCTATTGCATCTCCCCAGGCTCTTGCTAAGAAGCAGGTGCTGGGTAAGAAGAGTTGGTTAAATCCCCACAGTGAACTCAGGGTCTGGTAACATTTTAAATGTCTGTTTCACAGCACCACTTCCAGTCTCTTGACCTTGACTACCCAGTAATTGATAGGGTTGCAAGACTCAACTCTGGGGAAGCAAAATTTGACACAGGGCTGCAGAGAAGTCTCAGTCAGTACAGTCTTCTCCCACACAAGTGTGAAGACCTGCGTTTGGATCCCCAGTACCTGTGTAAAACTAATTACTGAAGGCAGAGGCAAGAGAGCTTACTGTGAGCTCCAGGTTCAATGAGAGACCCTTCTTAAAAGAATGAGCTGGAGAGCGACAGGAAAACTTGCCACCCATCTCTGGTTCCCTCACACATACACACACACTCAAGCTAGAGCATGGTTATAGCTAGCGATTTGATTTTGTAGAAATAATTTATCAGAACTAGAGAAATGGCTCAGTGGTTAAGAGCTCTAGTTACTCTTCCAGAGGACCCAGGTTCTGTTTCTAGCACCCCTACCGTCTGTACTGTGGTTCCAGTGGATCCAACACTGTAGTTTGACCCCCTTAGACACGGCACAGAAGTGGTGCACAGGCATGCATGCAGGCAAAATACCTATATTTTACAAGTTAAAAAAGAATTTCTCATTAAAGGATGCATTTAGAGGCTAAATGATCTACTATGTGGGGAGCGCTGTGATCTGGAGATGAGAGTTTAACGCCCTTTGCATTTCTCGTAGAATGGCTTCAAGTGTCACTGTATGTCTGAATCTCATCAAAGACAGCTGTTGCTGGCGTCGGAAAATCCTCAGCAGTTCATGGATTACTTTTCAGAGTAAGTCACTCAGACAGTCTTCTCTCTTAAATGTTACTAAGTTGGCCGTGTAATAGAAGTGCTTACTGTTTTATATTGGAGATCCTTTGTCTCTTACTTGTTGTGTTGGGCTGCTGTGTAGGTCTGGAAGAAGAGTGAGAGAATTAATATTTTTAAAGGACTGAGAAGTGTGTCTAGTACTAATAATGGTTTTCTGTTAATTATTACCAATACTAGCCTTTTTTCTTTTTTAGACAGTATTTGTCTGTGTAGCTTTGGAGCCTGTCCTGGAACTCATTCTGTAGACCAGCCTGGCCTCGAACTCGCAGAGATCCACCTGCCTCTGACTTCCAAGTGCTGGGATGAAAGGCGTGCATCACCACCGCCTGGCTTTTTTTTTTTTTTTTTTTCCCAAACTAGATATTTTCTGAGGACCCCTTTATACATATGTTAAAGATTCCAAAGGCCTTTTGTTTCTATGGGTGATATGTGTTAACATTTGAAATTAAATTTGAAAAAAGTTACAAACTCTTATTAGTCTATTTAAAATACTAATATATTTACCTTGTATTCAAGTAAAACAGGGACCTGGGGGAGGACCTAGAGGATAAAATGGTTGCCATACACATTTGAGGACCAGAGTTGCAATTTGCAGCATCCACAATAAAGCCAAGCAGGCATGATGAGAAGCCCATAATCCCCATGCTCAGGAGGCAGAGACAGTGGATTTCTGCAGCAAGCCACTAACTAGACCTGCTAAATTGCTATATTGAGCAAGAGTCCCTACTTCAATAAATAAAGTGGAAAGCAATTAAGAAAGATACTCAGTTGACCTCTGGCCTCCATATGTACACAGATTCTGTGTACCTACACTCAAGTATGCATACATGGGTCTTTGTGTGTGTGTGTGTCCCACCCCTGTTAATTTAAGATCTCACTGTGTGGCCAAGGTTAGTCTTAAACTCACAATCTGTTAAGAAGGAATGGGCTTCCCTTTTGGCCTTTGAATCATATTTCACTGTCCATATTAAAATTCCCTCTGACAATGCCCTCAAATTTGTTTGTTATTTTGTTAAATTTCCTTTTTAGTTGACTTTATTAGAACTGCTTGAAGGTTAAGATGTGACGTCCTGGACAGAGTGGTATTATTATACCACAATAGTCAGTAGTCATTAGAACAAAGACCCTATGATGAACCTAAAGACATGTACTAACTTTTACCATGGCTGCTCTACTAAGGCCAAGCATTTCAATTCCAGGCTAATCTTTGCAGTTCTTTCTATGGTCACGTTAAAGGTTTATGGCACATTGGCATGTGGTAACATAGATGGTTGATATGACATCTGGTCACTAAAGTTTATGATTGCTTAAACTTCAAGAAGATGGCGTTTTATGTTTGTAGCAAGTACCTTAATGTTTTCATTTCTTTCTTCTCTAGAGAATTCCGAAATGACTTTCTGGAACTTCTGAGGAGACGCTTTGGTAAACATCTTAAATATTTTATAAATAACAATTTCATAATTGTGTGGGTTTTTTTCAGGCTTAACAGTGTCACATTTTTTTTTCAGGCACTAAGAGAGTCCACAACAACATTGTCTACAATGAATACATCAGCCACCGAGAGCACATCCATATGAATGCCACTCAGTGGGAGACGCTGACCGACTTCACCAAGTGGTTGGGCAGAGAGGGTAAGAGGAGAGCAGTGAACTGGTCTTCCATGGCTTTATTTCTGTGAGAGAAGTCATTGTCGGTTTCTGCCTGATTTTATGGAAAATAAGATTTCTAGGGCAATTAGGAAAGCAGGAGGGGAACCTACTAGTCCATAGTTACTTCGCTATATGCCACTTTTGTCTCTTATTTTTTGAAGCTGGGACTTACATATTCCAGGCTGCAATGGAAATTATGACTCTCTTGCCTCTGCTTCTTCCCAGGGGTGGGGTTACAGGTTTTGGATGGGCAGTGGCCAGCTTGAGGACTTCTTTTGACAGTGCACTGAAGCATTCTGTAGTAGGCACTTTCCATCACTAGGACAGAATACCTAAGAAAATTGGTTTTGACTAGCAGTTGGTGAGAATTTGCTTCATAACCACTTGGCTCCTGTGCTTCTGGGCCTGAGGTGAGGGAGAGCTTCATGCCAGGGGCACATGATGAGGCAGAGGAGGGCAAGAGGGCTAGGGTGAGATGTGCCCTTCCAGAGTGGCCCAGTGGCCCCTCCTCCCTGCCAGCCATACCTGTTAGTCTCTACCACTTCTCAGTAGTGCTATCAGAATAAAGTTTGTGATTGGGTTAATTCGCCAATGAGGTCAGAGCCTCTAGATCCAGTCACTTCACAATGACGGAGACCAAGCTCTCAACACATGAGCTCTATGAGACAGTTCATCTCCAATCCATAATATTTGTATTTAGATTCTTATTAGCAGTCCAATGACCTGAGATTGATCCTTAGGACACACATGGGAGGAGAGAACCAACTCCTGAAAGTTTCAGACCTCCACGTGTATGTCTGCACACATACGTACCTGTGCACCACACATACATACACATCTATACCACATACACTTGTGTGCCACACATGTACAAATAAAGTAATAAAAATTATTTAAAAAGTTATTAGCAGCCTTTTCCGTTCTTTCTTTTCCTTCTCTTCCGTATTCACCCCCCCCCCCCATCCCATCATTTATGTGTTGAGACAGAGGCTTGTCCTGTACTCCAGTCTACTCTAGAGCTCAGTATGTGCCCCAAGTTGGCCTGCACTCATGGCTGTCCTGCTTCAGCCTCCCAAGTGTTAGGTTTATAGCGTGAAGACCAGCACTCAGCTTTATAATCCTCTTTAGGAAATGTTCCATGTTCTATCTCGAGGTGATTGTTCAAGTTGCTTTTTTTTTCCATCTCTAATCTTCATATGATAATGAGAAATTAGGAAGACAGGAGAAACTTGGTGTCAATATTTTGCTTATTTATAGTGTTACTTTATTCTAAGTTAACAGATCCTTCTGTATTCATTAGACAGTAAGAACTCTGGTGTACTTGGACAGTTGTTCCTAAAGTTCTTCCTTGGGCTTCTCTTGTTTAGCTGTTACCTCAGTGTAGCTGTGTACGCATGGAAGTAAAAACTCCTTGTGTTTCGGAGCTTTGTGTTTGAGGATACTTGGTTATAGTTACTGAATGAGTAAATGTGCAGAGTTGGAACATAGTATGCTTGCAGTTTACTTTGGATATATACAAAGTCACGCTGGGCTTCTTGGTTTTCTTTTTTTTCCCCCAAGGCTTATGTAAAGTGGATGAGACACCAAAAGGCTGGTATATTCAGTACATAGACAGAGACCCAGAAACTATTCGCCGGCAACTGGAATTGGAAAAAAAGAAGAAGCAAGATCTTGACGATGAAGAAAAAACTGCCAAATTCATTGAGGAACAGGTGAGAAGAGGTCTGGAGGGGAAAGAGCAGGAGACGCCTGTTTTTACAGAATTAAGCCGAGAAAATGATGAAGAAAAAGTTACATTCAATCTGAATAAAGGAGCAGGTAGCTCAGCGGGAGCAACATCATCCAAGTCAAGCTCTTTGGGACCAAGTGCACTGAAGACCCTTGGGAGTGCAGCATCAGTGAAACGAAAAGAACCGTCCCAGAGCTCAGCTCAGTCTGCAAAGAAGAAAAAGAAGTCTGCACTGGACGAAATCATGGAGATTGAAGAGGAAAAGAAAAGAAATGCGCGAACAGACTCCTGGCTACAGCCTGGCATCGTTGTAAAAATTATAACCAAGAAACTTGGAGAGAAATATCACAAGAAAAAGGGTGTCGTTAAGGAAGTGATTGACAGATACACAGCTGTGGTGAAGATGATTGACTCTGGAGACAGGCTGAAACTGGACCAGACTCATTTAGAGACTGTCATTCCTGCACCAGGGAAGAAAATTCTAGTTTTAAATGGTGGCTACAGAGGAAATGAAGGCACTCTAGAATCCATCAATGAAAAGACTTTTTCAGCCACGATAGTCATTGAAACTGGACCTCTGAAAGGACGTAGAGTTGAAGGTATTCAATATGAGGACATATCTAAACTTGCTTGAGCTTGAAAATTTGTTAACAATACATTGAAATTGTAAAACATCAAATTGGTGTTAGTCAAGGTACTATGTAACTCTACTGTGTTAGGGAATTCATTTCATATAAAGAATGTTTCTATTTAAATACTACTGGATAGTTGTTGGGTAAATTTATAATGAAATCTAATGTTTTTTAAATGCCAAAACTGTCTTTATCTTTGTTCCTTTTTCTTTCATAATACTCCCTTGATGTTTTTTTTTTAACCATTATTAAAGAATACTTAGTAAAGTTTCATATAAGACAATTTGGAAAAAGCCGATTCATATACCACATTAGTGTCTGTGTGTTTCTAGTCAGGCAAGCTTGACCTTCATTCTGGTGAATCATTGGAGTCACTTATTTTTTGCTAAAATAAGATCAATGAAAGATGTCACTTTATTAAAAAATCCTTTAGAATCTGTTGAGGCGTCCCAGCTGCTAAGAGTACCAACTTTTCTTCCGGAGAACCTACTTTCACTTTCCAGCATCCACATAATGGCTCACAACCATCCATAACCCCAGTCCTGGATCCTGTGCCCTCTTATGGCCTTCGTGAGCACTGCATGGTATGCTCTACAGATGTCCGTGCCTGCTAAACACCATACACATAAAATAAATCCTTCAGTTGCTATTGTGCCCTTATTGGTTTCTCTGGGCCTTATTGGAGAAAGAAAATGTCTTGGAACATTCGTTAGGTCTAAGGGTGCCTAACTGGTGGCCCATAGGTTGTAAGAACATAACGTTCTTTTATTTCTGTGACCATTGGGTCATGATGTTGTCATTTACAAAGTTCATGCTTGAGAACCAGGCAATCAGAATATACACACACACACACACACACACACACACACACACACACACACATATGTACATTTAATAAGATACTGCTTAATTCTATTTATTTAGGATTTTTTTTCTCTACAGTTTAAAAGAACTATTTGTTCATGTTGTGTGCATGTAAGTGGTTGTATGTTTACCATCTATGTTCAGGACTCTGCACAGGTCAGAAGAGGGCATCGGATCTCTTGGACCTGGAGTTACAGATGATTGTGAGCTGACACATGGGTGCTGGGAACTGAACTTGGACCCCTCTGCCAAAGCAGAAATGCTCTTCACTGCTGGGCCAACTCTCCAACCCTTCGCATTTCCAGTTTTTATCTTAAAGAACACTGACTTAGTTTATAGTCACTTTAAAACAGTCTTTAAAATTTTGGAAAAAAAAACCCCTCATAACTCAGGTATAATCTCAACTGAGATTTGTTTTTCTCAATTAACTTTTCCCATTTATTTAAGATGAAATTCACATTTAATTGGTTTAATGGTAACTGTGTGATTGATATTTGGACCACGTGAGACCAAAAGATAGCTAATATATCTTACAAGGAGCAGGTTTGTGCTAGTTGGCTGAGATCTCAGTTGTTCATCCTGTATATAAGTATCAAGTTGTAAGTTGTTTATGGCATCTTCCAAAGAATGAACAGACTTCCTTAGGAGGAAAACTGTCCTTTTCCAGCTCTTCCCACTAAGTGCTTGGCCTTACTTGAAATCTAAGGCTGACTATTCATTTAAAATAGAAAACAAATCAACATATTTCTTGTCTCGAGAGGGATTACATTTGACATCTCCTGATGAAAGTTAATTTTATAGGTGAAGAGTGTTGAAACATCCACTTTCAAAGTTTGGTCACCTGAGTTATATGTATGAGGCTGATTCTATAGAAGAGTTCTATAGAACTGTTACCCCAAATTTTGCACATAAATGTCTGTCCAGTTTTGGCAGTACTCTTCCTACAACACAGGAGTTGAGTATCCATCTCTGTCATGCCGCAGCTGTGAAGAAGGAGTATCCCCTGTTTATTGTCAGGATTCACCCAAAGTTTCCCAACTAGCCTTCTGTGTAATAACAGCAAGTGTGTGCTTAACCTCAGTGCTGAGGTGACATTTAACAGCAAGTATATGGGTTTTCCCAGTAAATACCAACTCCTGGGGTTGGCCTCCCTGTCAGTTTGACTCTCCAACCACTTCCTGGGTGTCATCTCAATGAACACGTATCATCTGAAAACAAACTCCTGAGACGTGTGTAGAAGGATGGGGGCTGCTTGTTTGTCCAGGCCACCCAGCTAGCTTAGTTCCGAAATAACCACACAGCAACTATTAAATCACTGCTTGGCTCATTTGCTCTAGTTTCTTATTGACTAATTCTTACATCTTAATTTAACCCATTTCTATTCATCTGTGTAGTGCCACGTGGCAGTAGCTTACTGAGTAAAATTCCCAGCATCTGTCTCCAGCAGATCCATGGTGTCTCTCTGACTCTGCTCTTCTTCCTCCCAACACACAACCTAGCTTTTCCCGCCTAGTTCTGTTCTTCCCTGCCATAGGCTCAAAGTAGTTCTTTGTTAACCAATGAAAGCAACACATAGACAGAAGGACCTCCTACACCAGACGTGTTTGCAAATGTTTATTTTCTTCAGGTAGGTTCTTTTAGACCACTAAAACATTTGGGTTTGTTTTGAATTGCTGGAGCCGAGGCATAGCTGCAAAAAGTGTCAAGGGAGAAAACGTACACCTACAACTTCCAAAACCCTAAACCATTAAGGCCGCTTGAGAAAGCTATAGAGCTGAGGTACGAAGTAATCTTTGTAGTGCCCATCGATGAAACCTTTCCCACTGTTGTGCACAAACCAGCAGGGCACATCCGTTCCAAACACTATATCCGTCCTGTAGTCCTTCTGTAAGCCTCTGAAAGGAAAATGGCGTGTATGCTTAGGGAAAAGACAGCACAGGAACAAGGCACAGCCGGAAACAAGGCAGCTCTTTCCTCTGTCCTTTGTCCCTTTCTACTCTATGCCCACCCCCACCCCTTTCCTGACCCCCAAGTTAAAAGAGGTGTCAGTATCTGGGGTTGGTGCAAGAAGAACAGAGTAATCAGTGTGTCCTCCGACGATTAAGACAACCCTCCTGGGAGCTGGCCTACAGGGGTGCTTCCACCAGGGTAGCATTAGCAAATGAACAAACAGTAAAGAAGGGAAAGGCTAAATACAACTCAGTGCCATAGCTAATCCGTGCTCTCTGATGAATCCGAGGCGCCTCCTCAGTTTAGGGGTGTTTTCATTAAGGGTGATGCCAGCTACTTGAGCAAATTCAAGTCTTCCCTATGGAGGATAAGGAAGCTAGTATTTAAAAAATACATATGGCGCATTGCCATGAATGAGCATTAAAAGAATGGAGCAGGGCCCTTTCAGTTTTCATTTGCTCATCGGCAGTGGTACAGGATTTTGTGAAAGGCTCGGGTCTGCCTACGATGCAAGACAATTGCTGAGTGGCCGCACCATTTCTCCATGCTTGCTGATGTCTATTAACTCGGCCAATACTGTTTGGGTGGTGTACTCTGGTGGTGTACTCAGAATCCACCGTTTAGTTCATGCGTCTATATTGTGTAATATTTCATATATAATTTTGTGATTTAATTTTCACTGTAAAGTTACATTTTAATTATGTGGAAGATAATAGCATTTCTGTATGTCTAATAAGGAAAACAAACTACTTTATAAAATATCAAAAAGAGGGGCTGGAGAGATGGCTCAGAGGTTAAGAGCATTGTCTGTTCTTCCAAAGGTCCTAAATTCAATTCCCAGCAACCACATAGTGGCTCACAACCATATGTAATGGGGTCTGGTGCCCTCTTCTGGCCTGCCGGCATACAGACAGAATATTGTATACATAATAAATAAATATTTAAAAAATGTATCAAAAAAGATGAAAATGTTTTAAAATGATATTAAATTAAGCGCGAGGGAGATAACTGAACAAGAAAGAGAGGAGGAAAATTCAAAGATTAATAATTTATGTTCAGAATGCTAAATTCCCATTTCAATATGAAGCATATGGATGTGAGCCATGCTAGAAAAACTGTCCCAAAATACACTCAGTCTGTCCGTCTTTAAGAAGCCCTTACATAAAATATGCACGCCTTCTCTAGCACTGGGCTTCCTGGATATTTTATGATCTTTTTCTTCGGTCAGCATTTTCAATTACTCAGTTTCTGACTGTAGGGCTCTAACGTGCGGAGGGGAGCACTAGTTTAATTCATTTCGGCATCTCATGGTATCATGCACATACGTGTGCTCATTACTTGCATTTAATCTGGGCTATCTGAACCGTCCTTTGGCTAACATTTCTGTGGGTCTGTTGTCAGTGACTTGTGGCGCTTGACAGGGTCTCATATGCCTTCTGCATCCAAGGCCTACCTGGTGACAGTCAGCTTATGTCCTTTCACTTCCATGCTCGCCTCTGGTTTTCCCGGATCTTTTCCTGGTCTCTCATTGAAGATGTGTATGCTCGGCTCATTCATGAACTGCCCTAGTGACGCAAAGCAGAGACGTTAATTCACGGAATCCTAGGCCTATCATTGGGTTCAAGTGACATTTTGGTTCCCCCCCTGGAATCCCTTTATACTTGATGCTGGTCTACTGGACCGCCAGTGGGGTGCTGCTCTCCAAATGGAGGCCAGGGTGGGCGTTGGAGAGTGTAGCTCAGATCACAGGAATAGGCCGGCTTGAATGCCACATACTTACATCTGAACCCTTAAACTACCTGCATGTCACAGATTTAAGTCACCTCTCTGCAGTCACAGAAAAAAGTCCTTGCACAATTTGTACCCTGTCTTGCCACATAGGTGTCACTAGGCATCTGGCCTTGGCTATCACATTCCCTGGTCACCCTGCTGTGTTGGGCCCTCTGTTCTTGTAGCCATACCAGCCACCAGCCACCTTCCCAACTCCCCCCCCCCCACACACACACACAGGGTTTCTCTGTGTATCCCTGGCTGTCCTGCAACTCACTCTGTAGACCAGGCTGGCCTCAAACTTACAGAGATCTGCCTGCCTCTGCCTCCCAAGTGCTGGGATTAAAGGTGTGTGCCACCATTGCCCACTACCACCTTTACCTACCTACCACTTTCCCAACATCTAATTGTAATTGTCAAAGTCATTGCCTTCGTTGCATTCTCCTTCCTTCCTACCTACCTACTTACCTACCTACCTACCACCTTTACCTACCTACCTACCACCTTTACCCACCTATCTACCACCTTTACCTACTTACCACCTTTACCCACCTACCTACCACCTTTACCTACCTACCTACCACCACCTTTACCTACCTACCTACCACCTTTACCTACTTACCACCACCTTTACCTGCCTACCACCACCTTCCCAGCTTGTAATATAGTTGTCAAAATCAGTCCCTGCATGTCCATGGTTGAGATGCTTACCTAAGAGTCCATGCACACTGGGTGAAAACTTGTTTGTGGGGGGAATGTAGATCCCCAGAAAGTCCACATTGACTGGATGTTTCTTCCACACATGATGCAACAGGACAGAAAAGAACATCTCCTTATTCAGGGTGAGGGTCACAGACTTTTCTTTCTTCACAGAGATAAGTACCCTATGTAAAAGCCAACACAGAACTAGTTTCTAGACGGTTCCAGAACAGACATTGTATTAAATATTAAACTATTTTGTCTATTTACTGGGTGTTATCTGTGTATCTGTGCCCATGTGTGTATGCATGCTGTTTGTTCACTAGT